CGGCCAGCCCAGGGAGGTCAGCCCCCCCCAGTGCCCCCCCCCCCCCGGCCAGATTTGGTGCCTCCAAGCAGCCAAAATCAGGTTCAGAGCTAAAGGAGACTTTTTTTTTCCCTTCTTCTTTTTTTTCTTTTCTTTTTAAATATTATTATAATTATTCTTAATGATGATGAAGCAAACCCAGCTGAGGGAGGATTTGTAAACACAATCAGCGCCGGAGCGGGGGCCTGGTGTCTCTTTACAGTCAAACCAAATGCTGCTCTTTTTAAACCAAGACAAAAAACAAACACAACAAAACAGCCCCCGGAGCTGGGTGACTTTGGGGAGCATCATGGGCCGGGCCCAGGACTCGGCTCCTCCCTCCCCAGCAGCACAGTCTGACCAGTGGAACCAGCTGCTTCTTTTCTTCCTTTCTGTTTGGTGTGTTTGACCCACCCGTGCTGCTGTGGCTCCCCTGGGAAGGCTCCTGGCACACAGGAAGGTTCCCGGTGGGGTTGGAAATGTGTGGACCCATCACCTGGAGGTGGAACCAGCAGCCTTGGAAAGCCCATCATCACTGCTGCTCTGCTGCCAGCACAGCCGGGCTGGGCGATGGAGAGGAGCTCCCAGCTTTGAGGCGAGGTGTCCTTCCTCCTCCTCCTCCTCTTGGAGGAGGGATTTTTGGGAGATACCACGAAAAAAGGCAGCTAAGGAACCTGGAGAAGTGCAGCCCAGTCCCTCCATCCCTGGCGGGATGCAGCAGTGGGTCCAGAGGGAAGACAGATCACAGAATCACAGGATGTTTGGAGTTGGAAGGGACCTTGGAAGTTGATCTGAATTTCAACTCCCCTGCATGGGCAGGGACGATGAGATTTCCCTTTGCTTTCAGGCTGGGAAAAAAACAGATTTAGAGGTAGCTTTAGTGGGTGAATGACCCCCCTCCCACCCCGTGCTTTTGCTTTTGTAAAGAGACAGCTCTGGTGAGAAGCTGAAATCCCAAAGTCTTTGTTCCACTGGGTGAGCAGCACCCGGTGCCCCCGGGGTGATGCAGGAGGAGCTGCCTCCCCAGAGGTGTCACTCAAACCACTTTCTTTGGGTCAATCAGGCGGGTGGGATGAGTTTTGTTTTTTGTTGTTGTTGTTCTTTAGGAGATGCTGGAAAGCTCAAGAAAAAGGCAATCATGGAAAAGGTCCCCAAAGGGGGGCCCCACAGTGCCCAGGCTGGAGCAGGGGCTGCAGGGGAAGCCTTGCCCACAGCCCCTGCCTGTAAGGAACAATCACCATAGGGGGGGTTATTTTTTGGGCTTGGAAGTTTGGGTTTTTACCCTTTTGTACTTGGCTTTTCTGCAGCAGCCTCTTACCTGTTGCTCTGCTTCAGTTTGGTTGTTTTCCAGGGTTTTCTTCTCTCTCTTTTTTTTTGTTTTCTTGGGGTTTCTCTCTGCACTCATGAAACCTGAGGGTTTGGCTCCCCAGGAGCAGGCCCTGAGCATCCCCTGGGCTGGGGAAATGAATCTTTTCTGTCCCCCAGGGCTTGGAACCCCCAAGTTTCA